TTGATGCAAAATTTTAGTTGTCAACCACTCCCTTCTCTTCTACTTCAAAATCTTATGTTTCAAACATCCAATAAAGTCTTATATCTTAGAACACTTGGTAAAATATATATATATTTTTAAAAAGCCTGTGTGTCACTTGTCTCAGCCATGAGTTCTGGGAACAAACATTACGCTAATTAAACCAAAGAGTGGTCAGTTATAACAGGTAAAGGAAGTATGCTGTGAAAACATGATGCCATTTAAGACCAAACAGAGTAATTTTTGAAAAGTTTGTTGTTTTGTGCTATTCACATTGCCATAAGCACGAATGATTATAATTCACTAAAATGATCAGAAGTTGTTACATTACTGATAATTGTGTATCAATTTGTAATAACAAATACAAGGAGACACTCAGGCTATTTGTCCAAGATAAATTTCACACTCTTGTTTTCCCTTTGACTCAAAGTTGAATTCTTAGCACTTCCAAAAATGATATGTAGGATTAGATTAATTTTGCTGTGAGATTCTGTGGGGTTTCTTCTTGTTCCTCTGTTTCATGGGTATACTTGTTCTTAGGAGAATAGGTTGGATAACTCTTAATTCCAGAGGAAGACAGTATCCGTAACAACATGAATACATGTGTGGTTCAGAGAATTCAGTCCACATTCACAATATGTAGTTAATTCTATAGTGATGTGAAAAGTCACAAAAATGTTAATGATCTCTTTCATGCATAGAGAAGTTTCATTCAAAGGTTCAAGGTGCTTTCTAAGTACTAATTCATTAAACCTGGACTTTCTGTGTCACATTACTCATGTTTGTTCTTTCTTTAAACCTAACTTTCTACCCAAGCTGAATTTCTAATATAGTAAGACCAAAATGAAATACAACTGAAAATATAAATTTCCATGCATAGTTCTGTAGGGAAGTTCCAGTTTAAGTGGGTTTTCTGTCATAACAGGAATTATGAGGGACTTGGAGAATCTGACCAAAGTGCTTGACAACCAGCTCTTCCTGGCCACTTTGGAAAAGGTGAAAACTTCATGGTACTGGGATTCCCAGGAGAGACAGCATGACATGAACTAGTTCTGCACGAATCTGATGAGAAGTGAGACGATCAGCTCTCATCAGCAGCAAGGCTTAGTGGTGAAGGCGTGAGTCAACCGGGGTGTCACCCACAGGTTACCTCATTAATCCACAGGCCCTGCCCCACGCACACGTGAATCACAACACCCCTCTTCCACCCCAACCAGGTTTCCTCAAGTCCAGAGCCCAGTTACAAGTAAGTAATGAAGTTTTCATCCAGAATTTGCTTGGAATTCAGTGAAACAGAAAAAAATAGAGGTGAGATGCTGGGTGAGGCAGAGTAGTGCAAAATCACCCACAGCTTGACAAAAAAGCTTTTGATGACAGCTTGGTCAAAAAAGATACAGACAGAGACCCTCCATGCAGGCTGTTGGGGTCAGTCACTTAATTATTGCTCTGTCACTGCCACTGTGGAACTCTGGAACTCAACCCGTGGAGGAGCAGGGCCAGCTCATGTGTCCTGTGTCAGCTTCCCTCCAGGCCGTGGGCAGCCTTCACGCTTAGCACCACCTCTCAGACCCTCTGGGATTTGTTATGTAAAAGCTGGCTTATTTCGTAAATTAAGCCCTGCTGGTGTGCAGTGCTGTCTCACTCCTCCCAAGCAGCAGTCTTGAGAGGTCACAGTGGCTTTCTGTGAGAAATGACCATTGTCCACAGGTGCAGCTCTGAGGATGGGATCTTGGGGCTTCTGGTAGCTGTGGAAGCATGTAGTCCCCAGCAGCTGTAACACCCATTCTGTTGGGTGTTATTATGGCCCCTTTGACATCTACTCAAACCAGGTTTTCATCTGTATAGTCACACAAAGAATAACTGGGTTTTCACTAAGCCCAGTGATCACTGAGCCGGAACTGGTATAGAAGAAGGTGAGAGAGCCCAGGGTGGGACTGCATCTTGAGGATAGTGTTCCGCTTACATTGTCATTCAGCACAGTGGGAGGATCATGGTGGACTACTTGCCCAGTAAAACACGTGTCTTCCTTGGTGGCTCAAGATGGTAAAGAATCTGCCTGCAATGCAGGAGACCCAGGTTCAGTTCTTGGGTTGGGAAGATTCTCTGGAGGAGGGCATGGCAATCCACTCCAGTATTCCAGAATCCCATGGACAGAGGAGCCTGGCAGGCTACAGTCCATGGGGTGGCAGAGTCAGACACAACTGGGGAACTGACACTTTTTTCAAGATGCACATGTGCAAGCCCTGGGAGGAACAAGTAGGAAAAGAGATGCGTGTAGTTCCAGGTGGGAGACGAGGAAGGAAGGCTTCCTGGAAGAAGTGGTATTTGAAGCTACACTTGGATGGGTAAAATCTGTCTTGTGACTGTGACTTGGGGAACAGGGAGAGGGGTAACGACAGGCACATGTCAGCAAAAGGGACACAAGAAGAGGAGGAACCCCACAGACAAATCAGAACTTCCCAGGTGACACAGGTGTGTTCAGGGAGCCCTGAACAGGAAGTAGGGAAAGAAGTATTATGTCTATGAAGCCTTCAGCATCAAAACAAGGAGATCGTTGGCTTGCAGGTGGAGAGCTGTCACAGGTTGTGGAGCAAGGGAACTGTAACCCATGGCAGCTACAGGAGGAAAGATTAAAAGGGGGAAAACAGGGTTGGGGCTCTTGAGGGTCTGACAGGCAGTGGCAGTGGGCCTGTGGGGTTGGGGTGGGGAGGGGGGCTGTGAAACGCTGCCGGCAGTTGTTACTGAAGCCTGACAACAGGCTTGACTCAGCACAGAAACCAGGAGAAAGAGTGGCTGCTCTAGACTGAGAACAGAGTGAGGAGTTTGATCTCAGACATAGGTGTTTTGAGGATGGGGCAGGACTTCCAAAGATGTCTCTCGGGCCACTGGAAGTGCCATGAGCCTTCTCCTACCACTCTTGTACTCAGCAGTCATACAGACTGTATGACCACACACTGCTCAGAATCTAGCTAGATGATCATGTGTGTGATTAGTGCAACACAGCGTCTTCTTTGGAACCACCCAGGAATTAGAACAGAACACACTTTATTCTGACACCATCGGCCCTGGACTAACTGACACATGGTGCGGGTGTCAGGCTCAGTGTGCTGTCATGAAGTGAGCCCAGAGCTCTGCTCTGCAGACTGGGGTCTGAGTCCTGGCTCTGCTGTGTTTTATTTTTCTAAGGCCTTTCTTTATCTGTAGCCCCAGATCCTCCTGGAGGCTCTCTGTCTTGGGGATGTGTCATCATGATGGGGAGAGACTGGGGGGTGAGCACAGTCCAATGAATCTACATCCCAGACCAAACAGCACAGGTGCTTGGGGTTCACCAGTTTTATGTGAGATCAGTGGATCCGGTGTGAGGAGTGCCCACAGCACTCTAGTGGTCACCACTGTCCTGTCCCCAGAAGAACAAAGAGGAGGAAGGCTTGGTACATGTCCCCAGAGCTTTCACTTGGGCTAGTGAGAAGGATAAACAGAGGCCAAGGAGATAAGGGCAGAGATAAGCAGATAAAGTAGTGGGAGGACGAGTGTGGGGAGGAGAGGTTTTCCTAGGGTTGATATTAGGGACTCCTGGGAGCCTGCAGGTGGAGAAGGGGGCACTTGGGTGAAGGCTACCAGGTCTTCAGGAACCAGCACCTGGAGGCATGTGTGTGTGTGTGTGTGTGTGTGTTGCGGGGGGGGGGGGGTTGTGGGTTAGGGCCAGGTGGTGGAGGGACTGGAGTGTCCGATCAGAGGGTGGATGTGTATTCAGTGGACAGCACAGGAAGTACTGCATTGCCTATTTTTGAAAGGGAATAAATGCCACTGAAATGCCTCTGTTTCTCCGGAGCCAACTTAGGTCACTCCCGCTGCACAGGGTCAAGCGGTTGGCGGTGAGGGAGCCACCAGAAGGCCGTGAGGATGACCCGGGCCTGCGGGACGGGCTGAACTGTGCGAGGGGAGCCGGGTGACAGTGACCTGTGAGAGCCTCGAGAGGCCCAGGGAGCAGAGACTGCGCGAAGACCGAGGAGGACAGACCCCGGACTCTTCCCAACCTCGCTCCCTGGGAGAACAGTGGAAGCCACCAGAAGCCAGGAGGAGGGGCTACTGTGCGGATTCTGGGTTTGGGGGCGTCTGGGCGAGGTTATTCAGGTGGATAGTCTCTGGCCGCCCCAGACGGCCAGGATTGGAGGCCCAGACTGCTGACGCACGAGAGGTGACAGTGCTGCGGTGGCAGCGGGAGAGACGGGCGACCTGCCGAGAACGGGGACCCCAGGAGAGGAAGCGCTGGGGGAGGGCGTGCGCGCGGGCTGCCCGCGCACGTGGGTATCGGGGACAGCTCCCCTTCTCCTCGGCCTCACGGTGGGGCCTAAGCCGAGGCCGAGCCCCTGACTGTGGCCCCAGGGCCTACAGCTGCGGGAGTTAGGAACCTACAACCGGATCCTCTTTCCACGGCCCCTGTCCCCAACCCACAGGCGCATTTATTAAAAAAAAAAAAAAAAGAAAGAAAGAAAGAAAGAAAAAAATCAGCCCGCAAAGACCCGGAACGCAGAGGCTGGGGCTCCAGCCGGTCATTTTCTGCCTCGGGCCCGGGGAGGGCGGGTGCCGGGCTGGGCGGGGAGGCCCGCTGTGCCGGTGCGCGCGCCCGGGCTCCGGGAGCGCGCTCGCGGGCGCTCCGCCCCCGTCCCCTCCGTGCACGCGCCCCCCCCCCCCACCCTGGGTGTATGCGCGCGCCCCCGCCCCGCCTTCCCCCCGTGCGCGCCCTCGCCTCGCGCGCGCGCCGAGGAGCCGCCGGTGCAGCGGGGCGGGCGCGCTCCGGGCGGGCCGGGGGCGCGGGCGCGGGGCCGGCGAGCCGGGGCGCGCGGGGGAGGCGCCGGGGAGGAGCGCGCTGCGCCGCCGCCCGGCCTGCCGCCGCTCGGTGCGGGTCCGCGGGGCGCGAGGAGCGGCGAGACCGCGGCCTGGAACAAAGGGAGGCCGGTGCGGGCGGGGGCGGCGCGAGCATGGCGGACCGCAGCCTGGAGGGCATGGCGCTGCCCCTGGAGGTGCGCGCCCGGCTGGCCGAGCTGGAGCTGGAGCTGTCGGAAGGTAACAGGCCCGGCGCTCGGCCGGCCGCGCTGTCACGGGGCCCGGGCGGGCGGGGGTCCCGGCGCAGGGTGATAGCGGCCCCCGCCCTGCGGCTCTGCGTCTTCCGCCGCGGCCCCAGCGCCGGGGGCCGGGGAGCCTGGGGGCCGGGGGCGGAGGGCGGGCCCGTGGCTTGGGGCGCAGGACGAGCCTCGGGCCGGGGGCGCAGGATGGGCCCGGGGCTTGGGGCGCAGGGCAGGCCCGGGCCGGGGGCGCAGGACGGGCCCGGGGCTTGGGTCGCAGGACGGGCAGCGGACCGGGGGCTCAGGGCGCGACGCGGGCCGGGGGCGCCGCTGGGGCCGCAGGACGGGCCGCGGCCGGGGGCGCAGGCGGGCCGTGGGGCCGGGGCGGCCTCGCGCGCGGCCTGGTGGACCGGGCTGTGTCCTTGGTGCGCGTCCGAGCGCTGCCCACCGCGGCCGGGCCGGGGGCGGTTCCGCGACGCGCGGCCTGAGGCGCCGCGGGCCTGGTTCTAATGCGAAACTTGTCGTTGGACTTGAGGGTCTGACCGCGGGGTCCGTGGCGTCCGGCCTGGACCGGGCAGCACCGCTATTGTTCCCGTGCGCTGGACGCGAAGGTTGGCTGGAACTGGAGAGCCCCCTCCCTCAGGCCGGGTCTGTGCAGCGTTCCCAGCGGCTCACGCTTCCAATTTGTGACAGATTCGCTACAGTGATTTCATGGAGTGTTATATACGGTTTCTTATTTTCTCTTAAAGCCGGGATCATGTGCTCAGCTGTCATAAGTTTTAGATCGGGGTTTGCTATGTCTTTTTATAAAACCCACTAAAGTTCCGAAATGTTGAATGTTGACTGAAGATTTAGAATTCACCCGGCTCACCCTGGGAAGGCCACTAATACACTCCGGGTGGAGAGAGGCCGTGTCCTCTCAAATTTATATTTGGAACAGTTTAGTAGTGAACTCGTGTGTGTGTGTGTGTGTGTGTGTGTGTGTGTGTGTAACGGTTTTGTGGGGCTGGCAGCCAGAAAGTAGATTCATTGGTGCCAGTTTTCGTCAGCTGAGATAAACTGGTGTTGACCTGATGTTTTCCCTTTTAACACTTTCAGGGGGGAAGGAGGTGGTAAAGATGGGGGCCTGGGTGAGGTGCCTCTTCAGATGGCGCCCTCTGGAAGGCTCCTGCTTCACGTTCGGGTTCCTGCGGGGCTCTGTGATGCTCAGCTGTCCCACAGGAGATAATTCCTGAACTCTGCTCAGCAGCCCATGTCTGAGGGGCTGCAGGGGCTGCAGGTACTGATGGACCTCAGTGCTGAGCTCAGCTGGGGATCAGGGCTTAGTCCACACTGGTGGGTAAGGAGTTCTGTGTGGACAGGTGGCTTGGAGGGGCACAGGACCCACTAGAGAATATTTGCCCAAGTTCTTTGGTTTCATCACTGCTCACATGGATTCTTCTCCCCTGCCCCCTACCCACCACAGCTCTGCACCACAGCTGTCCTGTTTACAACACCCTATCCTTCCTGCCTTATCTCCAAACAAGCTCTTCTGCTCTATCTGCCTCATCCTGATGTTGTGTCAGTACACCCCTGCGTTGGCCAAGTGAGCAGCCGTCTGAGCTGACCGGAATCCCTCCGCCTCCCTGGTCAGCCTGGGCTGGGCTCACCTTACTTCTGCGTGTCTGGGACAGTCTGTGGCCCCTGGTGGGAGTGGCTGGTGTGAACATGGACAGAACACACTCATTTGCTAGGTGGCAGTTACCGGTCACTCTTAGTCATTCCTAGATGTGTCCCTGTTGCCCAGAGGATGGCAAAGCATGTGCTCAGCCTGGTTCTCTGTGAATACCCTGTGTCCCTGCAGATTTTAAAACGGGTTTAATGAGTTTCTTATTGACTGTCAGAACAGAGGAAGGGGCGTGTGTTTGCCTGCGGGAATCGCATCATTGTTTCTCCTTCTCTAAACCTCCCTAGGCCTGGCTGGAACACCCAAAAGGAGAGAGTTGTTGCTCTGACTGCCCAGTGTCAGCCACCTCCCCACTCCCCCTTTAGTTGTGTCATCTTTGACTTGTGTTGTCTCCATTGGGTTGATTGGGTCTCTAAGCTCATTTGGAGTTTTGTGTCTTGTGACCATGTAGTATAGTTTTACTAGCTTAAACTAGATGAATCAATTTGCTTTTCAGTATTGTTTACCAGAAACCAAACAATGAAAGGATCAGAAATTCTTGTCTGTTTACATTTTGGAACTTAAAAAATCCCCCACCATATCCACTTGCAAAATGAAAAGTTAAAAGAACTTTTAATGCTGAATTGAGAGTAATGCTTTCATATTTATCTTCAATCAGGATTCATATGGAGAGAATTCTTTAAGTTAGTCATCATTTTATTAAAAGGTTAGAAAATACTGTGGAAACGTGTGTGGACTTTTTAGCACTCAGTTCTTAACAGAGGAGCATGGAAAGCAGTTCCGGTTTCAGCACGTAATGTAGGCTGAAAAACCAGAGTAGGCTATTCTCTCAGTGTTCCTACGTGGCCTGCCAGCCGCTAATGGTTGTATATAATCTAGATCAGTAGATGCTGGTCCAGCTTTGGTTTGCCCTGTCTGCTGTGCTGTTACAGACACTAATGTTCTGTTTTATGGGTCACTGTTGGATGCAGGGTTGCAGATTGACTTCTTGGCTGCAGAACTCAGATTTCCACTTTCCTGCCCTGCTGGTTGCTGCCTCTTTTCTTTCCACTGTCTGTTGCTGTCCGGTGCTTCCCCTCAGGACGCTGGGCCCCTCTCCCCCAAGAACTAGTGCCAGCAAAGAACAGGAGCTCTCTGTGGGGAGAGGCCTCTGATCCTTGCATCCGGGGAAGTCTTGTGGGGCCAAGAGGATGCTTGGTGCTGAATGTGAGATGGAGAGGAAGCCAGTGAGCTGGCTGGTTGCTGGGGGCCAGGTGGGGTGGTGGAGGCTCTTTTCCCCGCACATTTTTCCCTGAGTCATTTTTTTCTTCCCTCTCCTCCCCTCCCTTTCCCTTCATTCTTGCCTTTTGGAATCATGTATTTTTCTCTTTGGCTTTAAGAGGGCCACTAAGTAGGCAATATGTGAATAAACATTATTTGGCTTAAAGGAAAACTTTAAATGGAAACACCAGCAAAGCAGAGCAGAAAGAGAAAATTTCTCAATAAAGGCAGACTCATGTCTTACTAAAAAAATTAGCTGTTGATTGAAATTCAGCAATACATTTCTATGTTAACTGTTGGTTTGTGTCCTGGGCTGTGCACACCCTGGACTTGCAGCTCTTGACGATCTCATCCCACTCTTTCAGCAATGGTTGCATTCTTATTTTGATCGGACTCTGGGAAATTGCCTTGTGATACTGCCTGTGAAAACTGTGATGTTTGCAGAAGAGACTTCTGTTAGCTTTATACTTTGTGGTTTTTAATTGTGAGTGTGCCTACTGACTTCCTAACTCTTGCTTATGGGAGTTACTTAGTCTGTAAGGTCCTGAATTCCTGCAACTAGCAGTTATGTTCTATAATCGACTCCAACTTAACATTTTCTAGTAAGTGTGAAACTGCCCAAGGGAGGTGGTGGGTGCTATCAGTTCACTGTATTGATCAAGGAATCAGTCTTTTTTTAAGTTACAGATGAGTAGTTCATATGCTGCTGGCATAATCATGTCACCAGAGTAAAATCTTAAAGAGATGGACAGTTGGAAGGTTTGTAGGTTGGGGGGCAGGCATCTTCAGGGCTGCCAGCACACAATGGCAGATACACCTAGCTCTGCAGCTTGAGCTTCGTTCCCTGCAGCCCCCAGCTGTTCTTGGCGGTACCTGGGGCTGCAGAGTTGGCCCCCTGAGCTGAAGTCTGGGACCACCTTCCACGGGTGGGGGAAGGAGACCACTGTCTCTCATGCGATCCAAACGTTCTCCTCATTGAAAGGAAACAGGGGGCTCTGGAAAACAAATGTGTGAAAAAAATGTTTTCTTCCAGAGTCTCACTGATAACTTACCACTGGGAGGGGAGGAAGGAGGGGGTGCAGATTCAGGGAGTGACAGCTGAGCTGCTGCACCTGCAGTCAGTCCTCATGCAGTTAATAAAGCCCATTACCTCTGGGAGCTGGCGTCCTTGGTTTGATAAATCTGAAATAAAGGATTATTACTTGAATTACAGATATTTACAAAATGGCAGCATTGATATGGGTGGGATGTGAAATGTGTGGACTTGAGTTTTAAGAGTTGTTCAGAGTTATGAAAATTGTTACATTTGAATGTTCTTTTCTTGATGAATAAATATAGATGTCAGATTTAGCTGGGAAGGTAAAGGTACACATTCAAGGCCCTAATGTGTAAGGTTGATCCCAGTGCTCAGAAGGTATTTATGGTGCTGTAGTCACACTTAGAGCTGAATGCCGTGAGGTCACAGCTGTAACAGTGACTATTTTGTTTCATTCTGGGCCCACTGGCTTTATATTCTTGTTAGGTTTGGAGGCTACAAGCTGTTGGATGTTATGAGTCACTTTTTGCCTTCCTCCTCCCAGCCTTTTTCAAATGAGAAGTCTCTTTTTTTAGAGCTGATTTTTTTTTTTTAAGCAGTGATTTATGGGATGAGTTGTAGCATTCTTCTGAATTGCAGAGAGAATGTATTGGATAATCTTCATTTTGATGTCATGTATATGGACTGACTCACCAGTTCAAATCCTAGTCATATTAAGGTTCTCATAATTACTCAGGCATCTTCCTAAAATAAGGTGCTTGCCTGCAGGTATTGGCTAGGTTTTGCACATCAGTGTTTTTCCTGGAACAGGGGACACTTCATCTGCTGCAACATGGAAGGCACCTTGGGTAACACGATGGGCTCTGGCCGCTGTTGATGGTTCCTGTCCTCCAGTGTCTTTGTCTGTATGCTTCTACTTTCAAGGTTGCCAGTGTTGATTTTCCCTCTTCTCAGTCTTTTTGTGCTCCCTACAAAGGTCACCTGCTGTCATTGCCTGCACACCTTTCTTTCTGCTGAGAGGGTCAAAAGCTTGTGACAT